CTTCGTCCAGCTGTCATACTGGATTGCTCACTCATGAGTGTCATCATTGTACGGCATCTAGGAAAATGGTCACTTCTTTTTGACGTTTAGGAAGAAACAGTTCTCACCGCTGTTCTGTGTATTTCTGAGGGAGAAAGTTACAGGGGGCGATCAGGAATCACTTTGGGATCAGAGGAATATGGAATCCATGTGGCATTGTGCCTCAGGGTAGCAAGCATGAGGACCAGTTGAGTGATGCCTTCAGTTTAAGCGAATTTGGTGATTATGGGAACCTTGTGCTGAGACATGATGAAGTGACATCACATGGCCAACCTAAACCAGCTCCCGATGTGCTCTCCAACTTCAGATTGGCTCCTAGTCTTCAGCCTCTGAGTGCGTCACAAGCAGTAGAGCAACAGCCCAGATATCCTTCCTGAGATCGGCCTGTAAGGGCAGCCATAGTTTCATCATGCCAGGATTTTCCAGCCTAGGTTTCCTTTTGCTTGCCTGTTACAGTGCACTGTAAGTTGTAATTGTTGAGCTTGCAGGAAAGATTTTATCAAGATGTCAAGGTCCATGCTGTACAGCTCTTGCTTAAAGTGGTTGTGGTCTTCATCATTTTCACCCAGCATCTGAAAGTGGAATTTTTTTATTTCCTTTATGGATCTCTTTTCTTTCCTTTAATGCAATTTTAATGCAAAATGGATTTACATTTCATTTTTGGTGCCTGTATTTAGCCATTCAGTGGCATTAAGCAGGCATACTTCTGTGGACAATTGGATTTAGCAAAGATGAGAATAGGACTGGACTGATAGTGCCACAAAGAGTTGGGATTTGTTTTAGGGGGTTACCTTTGCTTTTAAAATCATGCTGTGGTGAAACAACTAGAAGGTCAAGCTGTTGTTGCAAATTGAGAAGTGAAATCTTTTGGTGATCTCCTGATCTCTTCAGCCAATACAAGGATCAGAGACTTTTAAGAGAAGTGGTGGTGGACCAGTTGGTGGTGCTCTTCCATCACTGTGCTGTAGGAGGCACTGTCTTTCGGATGAGATGGAACCGAGGCCCTGGTGACTTCGTCTTAAAAGATTCCAACATTTTTCATAGGAAAAGAGGTATTTACAAAGATATATCCCCCTGTACATTCTGACCTAATTTAAATTACCCAGTTTCTTGCTTCTGCACTGGTTGCATCATGGCTGCTGCATGTCACCCAGGTGGAGTTGCATATCAGTGGTGCAGAAAGTAGGCCCACTAATGTGTGAAGTAACTACTATTCAGTAACATCCAAACACATAATTATATCTTACAGAAGCACAGTACTGTTTAAGGATAAAAAACACGATGTATTTCACAACACCTTAAGTTGTCTTTCAGTTAAGAGTATTAAATGCAAAGCCCTAGGCTTAAAATGTTGCCCAGAGATAAATGAATGAGTTCATTAAAGAAGAACTCAGCCAGGCTGATTTGTGTAATTTGCCTGTGGTTTGACAAGTGTAGTACACTATAATTAAAACAGGAGAAGCAGAAAAGGGAAATTGCACTTTGTTTGTGACCTGAAGAAAACAAAACTAATATTTTGTTATAGCCTTTTCATGCCTATAGGAGAGCAAGAGCTTAAGGGAATGTTCTATGAATCTCTTCTGTTTTGAACAGACAAGACTGAGGGACCAGGTTCAAGTATTCACAATTCTCAAAGGCACTGATGGAGTCAACCCTGTGGTGCACTAATGTTAAGATGTCAGTTTCCCTTTAAGCTAGATCATCACTTTGAGGAGACTGCATGCATGTTTGATCAACCAAAAACTCAACCTTGCCACCCTTCTTCAAAACACTTATGAGACACTGCAAAACACTTGTGAGAAGTACCACAGAGATTTAAAAAAATTCAAATTCAAATTCAGAACTCCAGTCTTAAAGTAATGTCCTAATGTCCTAATGTCCTACACTGACAGATTAAAAAATATAAATTCAAGTACAACTGCCGTGTGTCTTATAACATTATAGAAAATTACATACCTGTAATGCTGGCTTTTGGGACAAGCAGATACCAGGCCCTAAAACCAGTAAGACAGCTGACTGATTCATAGGGTTAAGGCAACCACTGAAGCCTGGAACAGCTATCAGCAAGGTACTTAGTGTTGGATGGAAAAGGTTAAGATGCACCGCACAGTTACAGAGTTAACTAAATTGTGCAGGAAAACATCAGTTTTCTGCTGCTAAAGCAGTTCCGTCTTTCATCTACAGTAGCTGAGTGGATGACTGAGTCTCAGATGAAGTACAGTACGTCTCCTACAGCAGCATGAACCCATTATTCAGATTTGAATTCACCAGGAGGAATTGGAAGTGATTGAATGAGGGATATTTTGTGCATTGATTTCCCCTCATTGTGATAGTAAATTCCACTTATGTAATTAAGTGCAGTCATTTCTGTATTTTTCAAACAGTTGTGCAGTTGATTAGATCCAACAAAAACTAACACTGTTCTTCCTGAAAGAACACGGTGATGTGGACAGTTACATTCCTCTCCTACTGGGGAATCGGACTCTTGCTTTTCATCCCAGGAGCTGCTGACTCATCTGTGCAGATTCTTGGGGCTGGGTCTTTGCCTTCAAATGTAACTGTCTGCAGTCATTGTCTTGGAGGAATCGTGCTGTGCTGCTCTGCCTCCCTCCAACAGAAGTAAACATTCTAATGGTGCACATGTACCTTCGGTTCTGAAAGCAGGACTTGTCTGGAAATACTTCCAGGAAGAGGATTTTCAAAGTTTAAGGAATATTTATTTTGTCAAAAAAAATGGTTGAGCTTTACAAGGTCATTGCTGGTTGGCTTTCCACAATAAAACAAGGTTCTCGGCTTCTAAGAGTTGTATAAAAACAGATGAAGAGTGAGGAATGAACGGAGAAGTGGATCTGGTTTTAAATTTGGAATTTCCATTTTTAATGTTATCCTCCAACTCATGTCTCGGCTGTCAGCTCTGAGCCCCACCTGCTCACCTCTTATCTGCTAACTAATCACAGGCTGCACTGCCCCCTACTGGAGGAGGAGAGTCATGTCAAGCACCCAAGAGGCCAGGAGGGGTCTTTGTCACAGCCCCGGCCAGCTAACTCAACCACACTCTCAGTGACTCAAAGACAATTGTACTTTGCGTTTGGAGGATCTTTAATTTCTGAAGTATCATACGTCCTCTGAATTTCTGTTTGCTTTAAGAGTTACCACAATTTTAACTAAATGAAAGATTTCACTGTGGTATTGTTTGTTTAATACAACATGAAAAACAGCCAGCTTTCATCCATACTGTAGTTGTCTTCACAGCATTTCCAAACGCCTTTCAATAGGTAGATAACTGAATGAAGAGTCTCGAAGGTTTGTTGCTTGACAATGTAAATTCAAAGTTAGCTCTAATGAAATGTACTGCCTACATGATAATTGATTTGATTGTTTTGTGTGGGACACGGTTTTAAATTTGCTTTTAGCTCTTAGTGTTAAATGGGGTTTGTAATGGATATCAACCCTGTACTCCCTCATTCAGGTGTGTTCCCCTAAAATGTAACCAGTTGAGCATCTCTCATGGTGGGAGTGTTTGATACATTGTTTTTACAGGTTGGATAAAAAAAGGACAGAGGGAGAGAGTGAAACCTGCAAAAAAAAAGAAAAATTGGAATATCCAATTCAGGGTGAACACTGTCTCAGTTGTCTGTGTTGCACTATCGGTCCTTTGAGTGTGTCTTTAGCAGTTCTGGTCTTCGGCTCGTTCGCCTGGTTGCTGCTTCTCAGGGGTTTCCTTTCTAAACCTTAGTGTGTGGGGGGGGTCTCTCACCCTTTTCTCCGCTACCTCACGCACGAAGTCACCCCAGCGCCCCCATTCAGAATGAATGGAACACAAAAGAGAGGACCCAAATGGACACTACACGAAAGTTAATTTAATTTCGAGAACAGAAGGCACTACCTTACCCCAAGGGTTGTGGGAGCGTGGAACAAGCTACCCAGCTATGTTGTTGAAGCTGATACTCTGCTTCTTCCCAGAATAGCCTGGATGAGATCCTCAGATTCATAAGCTATTGACTAGCAGATGGGCCAGATGGGCTGAAGGGCCTCTTCTCATTCGTGACCATTCTGACTTTCTAATGTTCACGCCTCCTCAAAGAGAGCACCGGATGATAGAGAGATATTCTGAGCTGCTGTCCATCACAGAAGTGATTATCTCCAGCTGCAGCCTCTTCAGTTGCTCGCACGCTGACAGCAGGTCACAGTTATCATTCCCCACCTGTATCTGTCAAAAAAGCAATCACCTATAAACTGCTGTTTCAACAGAAGTGTGACCGAGGAGAGTCTGCTTACAGTTCTGTATGCTGAAGTTATTAGAAGCCGTACAATTGAAGTGTTTTTTTTCTTATCCAAGGACTGAATGCAGATTCAGGTAAACAAAAGTCTGAACCAGCAAGTAGATCAGTTACAAAGTGCCAATTATCCCTGGTGGTTTAGAGCTCATTAGGAATGTAAACCAGCAGAGACAGGGGTCCCCCAGGGCCACGGCTGGGAACCATTGCTCAGGTGAATAATAAAAGCTAAGCTGCCTATTCCTGCTCCTAACTGCCCCATTAAAAGGGCAGACTTTGTCAGCTCCTAGGTACAAATACTAATACACTATATACAGGAAAAAGAAATACTGTCTACTCCTGCACAGCACTCAGGTCTGATGAATGGAAATGATCAAGATCAAAGGTTAGACCACTAATGCAGTATAACCTATAATAAAAGCTTTTAATGTTCAGATATTGATTCTGATCCACGCCTGATTTGTATTCACTAGGAAGCATGGGATCCAGAAACACAAATCACAGTCAAATGTGCTGGCCTAAGTACCTCAACTGAGAAGCGCTTGCCCTGCAATATTCTTGTTAGTGAGAGAATTCCAGAGTACAGGAAGACCAGGAATGGAGGAATGAAGTCGCTCTGCTCCCGGTGGAGCTGGGAGAGATCAGATCCCTGCTCACTGTCCTTGGCATGCTCTTCCTCCCCAGGTCTCGAGCATGCTGGGCTGAATCATGGACCCGGAAGAGCAGGAGCTGCTGAGCGACTACCGGTACAGGAGCTACTCATCTGTGATCGAGAAGGCACTGAGGAACTTCGAGTCCTCCAGCGAATGGGCCGACCTTATTTCCTCTCTGGGCAAGCTCAACAAGGTATGTTCTAGTTACCAGCATGCACTGCGTTCAGGTCACTTCTGATTTTGACTCATGCCTTAACCACACACAGATCTGTTTGGCGTTCGAGGTTTGCTCTTTGCAAAGCAATCCGACCTGTGCCAGGTTTTGCAAAGCACCACAGATCGTATTTCATGAACAGATTGGCTCCACGTTGATCATTGTGTTAGTTATTTCAAAATAGGTTGGCCATCTTAAAATTTCCTGCATGTATTGTTGGCTTATTAAAGATATGATGGATGAAAGCACTGTAAAGTGGGAGTCTCATCTATTCATCTTTCTTAGCTAGGATGAATAAAATGTGCTCCTGTCCTCCAGGTGTAGGCTGGACCAAGCTGATCCAGTCCTTCAGGGACTCCTGGGCTCACAGGATGTTAGGGAAAATGGGACAGCAACAGCAGTCTCTTTTGCTGCCCTGAATGTGTAAACTCAGAGAAGGAGCTGAAGTTTCAGAGAAGCTGAAGTTGGGTACTGCACTAATTTGCACAGCACATTCGGAAAGAGATGCATGAACTTTGAATTTTGTTAAGTTTTTATATAGATTGCAACACTCTTTTTCCCCCCATTTATTAGCTCTGAACAGGCATGTCATCAGATCCTGGGCATTGTGGCCACCTGAGCTCATAGCCACTGCAACACTGTGAAACAGGGCTGGGACTCAAACAGCTTTAGACTAAAAAATAATCTGGGTGTAAACTAAACTGTTGGTTGACTACTAGGTATTAGTCTTTTTATCAACTCACTTTTGCATTTCTCACATAAAAAAATCACTTTCATTATGAAATTCTTTTTTCTGCAAACTTGCAGATTAAAAGACCGCCTTTTGACCATGTGTAGTCGGGCTCCAGCAATGTCTTGTAATCAAAAGGGTGTTACGTGTGTGTGCTTGTCTGATTTCCAGATTTCCAGCTGCCATATTCCTGTCAATCCAAATGCATTTCGTGAAAGGGTTTTTATTTGAATCTGTTAGGCAAACAGTCCCGTGCTCCATGTGTTTTGGGTGTGTGATGTGCAGTGTTTGATTAGTCTAGAGGAGCTGCATGGCTAAAGTTCAGCAGCTTGTGCAGGGTGTGGGCTCGTAGACTGAAGCACATACCGTTTTCGCTGTTTCTTGCTCTGGCCTTTTTGTCATTTTACACTCATTGACTGTTCCGGAGCTCTTGCTCAGCTACTATCAGTTGGTCTGTTTTTTTTGCATCCTTCACTGCTGAAAACTGTCTTGCAACACGTGATTCTCATTTGCATGGTTTCTGAGCATGGCCCCTCTGCTGAGTGTGTGAACACCGAACACTCAACTGTTACTCCACAAAAACTAATATAAAGAAACAGAAATGAATGTATTCAATTTATTTTTATTTTCTCATGAGATTTTTCCAAACTTCAGTGCCATACCCATTATTGTCTGAAGGCACTCCACTGTGCCACAGTGCTCCAGCTGAGAAATACTACCTCTCAGAACTGATTCCAATCTTCTTCTTTAACATGCTGACCTGGGCTTGGCAGTGGACATTCTTATCAGTCTGAATTATTTCTTGTGACACAAATACCCTGAAATTGTTGATTAACAGTGTGTTAATTGATGAAATGTGAGATTAATGGTATCATGGGTACTCTTTAAAAACGAATGCGTTGAGACTTTCTGAAATGGAAAGGTTTGCTTGCTTCCCTGGTATAAAGTGATGTTAAAAATAGCTGGTTTAACCTTAACCACAAGGGTCTTCTGTCTGAAGAGTAGATTGGCACAAGTATGGTAAACCGAATTGGAAAAGATCTCGACACTGTTTTATAGTCAGAGCGCTGGTTGTGGTTGCATGAAGCAGTTACTAGTGAGAAGAGGCCCATTTTGGTCACTTGACGGTTCACAGCGAATCGGTCATCTCTGTGGAAGTCATACGATTGGGTTCATGGACTGATGAACTATGGTATTCAGCCTCCGAACTGGAGCTCTGGGATTCCTGCCCTGGTGTTCCAGCAAGGTTACTCTGGGAGGCCCTTCTAAAGGGTTTCTGACCTGACCTCTGCTTTGCTCCTGTCCCCGCAGGCCCTGCAGAGTAACCTAAAGTATTCCCTGCTCCCCAAGCGCCTCATCATCGGCAAGCGCTTGGCTCAGTGTCTGCATCCTGCCCTCCCCAGCGGGGTCCACTTGAAAGCACTTGAGACGTACGAGGTCATATTTAAAATCATCGGCACGAAATGGCTGGCCAAGGACTTGTTCATTTACAGGTGTGTTGGAGTCTTTTCATAACCCTCACCTGGTTGGGTGTGCTACATTACTGGGGTAGTTTAGATCAGGTAGTCCAACCAGAAGAGGACAGTAAATGTACAGGCAGTGAAGCCGAGATATGTTCATGGATGGCTCCACATGCTCCATGCCATGAACAGTAATCAAAATCGCTGGAGACTCCTGAAGACATCTGCACTCATTTGCGCACAGTGTTTAACCATTAGGCTCTAATCCCACACCCCAGCACGCAAGCACAGCCAGTGTTTGAAGACTCCTAGAGAGGCTTAGAAGTGGCCAGTATGGCAGAAAGAAACTGAGAAGTAGCCTAAATACTAACATCTCTATTTTTTTTTCCCTTGATTGTTTTCTACATGACCTTTTGCTAAAGACTCGTGTGTGGTTTGGTCTGCTTTTAGCTCTGGCTTGTTTCCTCTGCTGGGCCACGCTGCCATGTCAGTGAAGCCGGCTCTACTGACCCTGTACGAGAGGTACTACCTTCCTCTGCAGAAGTCACTGCTGCCGAGCCTCCAGGCCTTCGTCACGGGACTCCTGCCAGGCTTGGAAGAAGGCCTGGAAGTCTACGACAGGTACGGTATCCTCCTGGAGCCTTCCCAGATTTCACACACTACTTCAAACTAGAAAGCACATGCCTAGTTTCTGTTATTCTCCTGCACACTAGAAGCCTTAGTCTTAGTTTTGCACCAGAATTTACTTTGAGATTTGCTGCACTCAGTGAATTTAAGAACTAAGATATTTAGGTCCACCTCTGCTTATTGACAGATTTTATTGATGCAGCAGGTGATTTTGGACTATGTTTGTACATGGTGGTAACTATTGTTGCTCCTCCTCACTCCCATTCCAGTTCCAGCATTGAGGTATGAACGTGTCTGGCCACACGGAATTGGCAATTCTCATTTGAGGTCTTGGTGAGCCTTTGCATTCCAGAACAAAAAAAGCTCTGATGTAAAAAAAAAACTCATCACAATTTCGGGATCAATTAGGCAATTCGTACCATTCTCAACAAAGCTTCAAATTCATAGCCAAGACTACGACAGCGTTTCCAACAAACGTCCCCTTTCTCTGCCAGGACTGATGCCCTTCTTGTCAAGCTGTCCCTCCTGGTTGGGCAGAAGGTCTTCTATGGTGCCCTGTGGGGGAGTGTCCTGATCAGTCCTGTGGTCCGTCTTCCAGCCTCCCTTTTTATTGTCAACCACTTCAACAGAGTCGAGTCGGGGAGGAAACAGAACTACATGCTGGGAATGGACTACAAGCTGCTGGTGAGTGTGGTGTGGGTCAGTGCAAGTCTTAGGCAGCCTTGAGAATCCATGGTTCCAAGGCTGTCAGAGATCTCTGGGTCACTCCTCACTTATGTACAGATGCTGTTGAAAAGCTAGCAATTGGTCAGTCAATTAGCTTCAGTAAAACAGCACATCGAGAGCACAGGTGAAATAAAAACCAGATACCCATGTTGCCCCTGAGAATCAGCCAGCTGAGAATCCCTCAATCAGGCCAGAGCATAGAAGCAGGCAGGAAAGATTGCTGTTGACCCCTCTCGCCCAGATTATCACCCGTTTCCTAAACGTCCAGAAGACACTTCCTAGTTTGTTAAAACCAGAACCACCTGGTACTTGAACAGCTTCTTTCCTAGGACTGAGCTTTTGGTAAACCAGAATTCCTAGTTATAGGTGCACTGTATCAATGCTGTCTATTGTCTTGTTTGTGTATAGTGTACTGTATGTAGAATGGTTTTGCAGCACCAAATATACCAGAGTAAATTCCTTGTGCGTGAAATGTACTTGGCGAATAAAGGTGATCCTGATTCTGAATCTGATACTGATGGGCAGCTCCAGTGCTGAAGACTTATTGGACTAACCTGGCTATTTTTTACCAGCTCTTTTACAGAAGTGATGTTTATATTAACTAATTAACCAATAGGTTAACTACAAGATTAGAGCTACTACCTTTAACTTAACTTTAAATAGGTACTGTACGTTTTCAGTGTCAATTAATGCTAATCTGAAAACATCTGACAGTCTCAGCCAGTGTCCTGACTAATCAACATTCTACTTAGATTCTACTGTTACTTACTTTTCTCCATGATCTCCTGTGCAATGGGTCTGCCAGTGCGGAATGGCTGTATGTCACCCCGGTGGGGCTGCACTTCAGTAGTGGATGAATTGGGTCCCTGCAACCTTTGGGAGGCTCTATATAAATAAGTACAGTTGTTGTATATTTATTAATCTGATGGCATATGCTAACACAGAGCATATTGAAAAAGGAATAACTGTCATCTCTTTATTACCAGTGCAGGAATAAGCCCATGTCAGTCTACACTGTCAAGTCAGAAAAGAACTCGGCCCATGATCAGCAAGGAGAATGGACAGAAACTTCATGCCACAGCAGCAAACTAGTGTTGCGTAAATGAAACGGGGATTGTGGAGAATCTGTCTTTTTCTGCAAGGGTTTCTCCTTGTTTTTCAGATGAAATCCATCAGTCTGTCACTGCAGGACTCGAATGTGCTTGTGCAGAGGAACATGCTGGAGATCCTGTTGTTCTTTTTCCCCTTTTGCGCATGTCTGGTAAGATGTGGATCCTAACGGCACATAACCCAGAAGAAGCATTCTGGTTGCACAAAACCTTTCAGCTAATTAATTAGCCAATTATCCATCAAATTGTAGCGTACTAGAGTTTAAAAGTGGGGATTGTGCTTCAAGGTTTAGTTCATCTTGTTCTGTGATCTTGTTTAATCTTTAATCAAATTGTCGCTGGACATATTAATTTAGCATTGGATATTTTTTTTCTAATTCTAACAAAAGCTGTCAGGGGGCTTCATTTTCCCGAGCGTGACTGTTGTCTTTTTGGCCCTCAGGACCCGGAGGAGAGCAGCATTCCCTTGACCCGCAGAGAGATGGTCAATGTGGTCTCGTCTGCTTCCCTGACACTACTGCGCAGAGACATGTCCCTGAACCGGCGGCTGTACGCCTGGCTGTTGGGTATGCTGCGTGCTGGTGGAGTCTCACCTGCCATCCCCCTGTATTGCCCACCAAATACAATTAACAAGCTCTTGTGGCACATAAACCACGTGCCCATACTTTGCCCTATGGCATGATCACCGTATGGGCATTTTATTTGTAATGAGGCAAACACACCCTCTGTATTTATGTGTAAGGTATAGACTGGGTCTTGAATGGCAATCCATGCCAAAATACAGATTTTCTAGAATAAACTGTTTTTTTCTTTGGGGAAGGGGGCTCTTTTTAAAGCATTTAATGGAGGACTTCTCATGTTATCTTTCTGTTCGGTATTCAGGTACAGACATTAAAGGTGGCATGTTGGCCCCAGATCCACACTTGTCCACGTCTATGGAGGACCATGCTGCGTACTACTTTGAGAAATATTCCAGGGACCTCTTGGTCCAGGTCAGTATGGCGCAGTGATGTCACATGCGGTGGTAATCATGGAGCTAGGTTACATCACTGGAGTCCCCTGTGGTCAGTGTGGAGTATTGCAGCCTGTTATATTAACATTGACAACACCAGCACGCCAGCACAAACTCATCTGGTGTGAGCTGACAGTCACTTGCAGACTTACTTGTTTCTTTTAAAGGCCATTGTTTTGAATTGCTGTATTGTCCCTGCATGTACTGTGGCCATTGGAAATAGGCTTTCATGAGCAACGCTGCAGAAATAATCTACCATGTTTTCCTATGTAACCACATGACCCGATCGCTCCAGTAGAGATCATTAGATTTTCCCTGCACTGTTCCTCACTAATTTAAACAGATGTCGTATACTGCGACAGATTCTCCTGCTCCAACTGGTTGTGTGCATCTCTCACAGCTTCTAATTGTTTTTTTTTCCCAAAAGTTTCAAATGGTCCATTAAGGGCTCAAGATAGACAGAAGACTAAGTCCTTTTTGATTCACAAGGACTCAGTGTTTTATTTCCATGTTGAGTGCAACAATCACTTGTGAGGTTCAGGACAGGCCTGTCTATTACACATTGGCCTCAGTTCTGATGTTGCACCCCTTGAGAACAGTTTTTTGTGGTGTTTTGACAGGCGCTGATCAACATTCTGAGGCAGAAGAATGCAGAGCCTGACGTGGAGAATGTGCAATTGTATCTGAAACCATTCCGCATCATGATCAGTCTGCTGGACAAGCCAGAAATCGGTATACTACAGTCAGGGAGCTTAAGTTCCTAAATATGCGAGAAGATTTTGGGGATTTTTTTAAATACAATTTTAACATAGTAGGAGATCAAAAACTCTTGTGATATTTAGCTAAAGGGAAGCTGACTTCTGTGCTTCATTCACCTAGTTTGTGAGATAACCTCGGAAGTTTGCTTATGTCGTGCCTTCTTTAGTTTTTAATTAAAAAATGAGGCTTCGACATAGAAAATTATTCTAAAAATAATTACATATGCCAAAACTCAAAAGGTGTAGCAGTTTCCTTCAAATGCTATAAAAAACAGACAACTGAAGTTTGCTTGAGAACTCTATGAATCCCCATTGTCTGTTCCAAATGTTAACTGAATCCTTCTGGCATGTAAAAAGATCGAAACCTTTTCACAATGTGTTAAAAATGTGTATCCTGTGACGTTTACTAAACTAAACTCAGCCTGCAACGTGAATTGTCAAAGGTTTCCAGGATTTTGTTTCTGTTAAAATGTTCATGGCTCAATGATTAATGTTCAGATCTCGGCTGCCTTTGCTGCTTTGTTTGTTAAACAAGGAGTGTCTCCTGCACAGTCATGTGCAATGTGCCTGTTCTGAGGAATGAGTGCTAGGAAGCACATCCTTTTTATAACATTATCTAATTTAAGGTCAAATTTGAACAGAGACAAAGCAAATCCCACCTTCTTAACCGGGAGTAATTAGAGTGGATAAAATGTGGCCAGGGAGGAAGTTCTTCAGTATAGTCAGTGTGGCTTTTACAGGGAAGATTTCCAACCATTAAATATTGTGACATTCCTTTGGGGGTGAAAGGATATTAAGAACTTGTTTCAGAGAAAGGCAGTAATAGTGAACTCCAGAAAGGAGTGTTGTGGGTCTCCAGGTGGGTAATGTGCTGTTTACCCCTACTGCATAACTGGTTCTCCAGCTCCAGCTCCATTAATGCAATATAAATCTTAACACAAAGCAAAGATTCTGAGGGGTTAATTCCTCTCATATTTTATATTGAGCCAATCAGCCTTATCCTATGCATGCACCTATTGGATTGTTATGCACAAAATGGAGAAGCACAGCCTTTCTTGTCACGCTGTGATCTTTGTTTTTAATAATCAGGTCCACAGATCACTGGAGATTTGCTTTTGGAAGTTATAAGAGCCTTTTATGGGTACTGCAAAGACATGCTAGGTGATGACCTCCAGCTCAGTTCCAGCCACAGTGGGAACCAGCTTTCCAGGTAGGAGTTTGATTTAGCTGTTTGCTTTAGTTTTGCAAAATATTGTCCCTCTGTGAAGAGCTTGCACCGCTTGTACTGAGGTGAAAGTGATGTGTTCAGAACTCGGATGTCTGTTCTGTTTTATCTGGAGCTGTTCCCAGTGTGTAAAGTCCCTACTGTCACAGCTGTTTCTACTCCTACAGGATTTTGAATTCAGCCAGCAGCCAACATGGAGTCACTTCCAGATCGGGGCTAAAATTGATACCGAGCGACAGCATACTTTTTATGTCTTCATTGACGAGGCTTGAAACTTACACCAAAACAACAACAGCAAAATTATAAAAATATAATTTAAAAATGCAAAGAAATCTAAAAAATATCATTTAGGTAGTGCACCTTCATACCTAGTCGCAGGCAATCAATAGTGGGACGATCTGAGGCCAAGGCTTTTTTGGATTTGCTCTCTAAGATGTGGCAGTTAACGGAAGACATTGTCCTCTTTCAGTTCCTGCAGCTGGATTTTTATGGATTCAGTTGCAGCTCTGTCTGTGTGGAGCTGAAAGGTGTGTGCAGAGTTCTGGTGAAAGTCATAGTTTAGCCCTTAACAGGGATGTGAGAAGATTTAGACTTAACATTAACTCTCTCATTACAGCCCTCTTTCTTTTCCCTGCTGGAAATCAATGGTAATCCACCCTCCCAAGATTCTTTTTGTGTATAAAATCTCCAGAATTTGTTTGAGGTTTCACATCACTTGACGTATCGAAATGGAGTGGATTATTTCTGTGTGATAGCATTCTAGCATTATTAGTAGCTTGTGGATTCATCTGGTGTTTTTCTTCAATTCACAGCAAAATTAAAGAAAACAAAAATGCCTCAGAGATCATCAAGACTGCGAACATGCTGATCAGCTCCCTGAGTACAGAATACCTGTGGGATTACATGACCAGGTGTTTTGAATCCTGTCTCAGGTAAATATTTTTATTGGTAATTCATATTTTGGTTAGTTAAGCCTTTTTTTCAGATATAACAAAACATCTTCAGAGCTTGTAAATACTGAGGAAGAGAGCAAAAATCACTTGCAAATCTGTAACAGCACAAAAGGTTAACTTGATTTTAGATCTTTTTCCCAAAAAAGTCTTTTCTCTTTTTTTTGGCCACTTTGAAGTGCCAAATATCATGTTTCTTATAGAGCTGAACGTTTGTAGGATTTTCAAATGCACACAAATGTTAATGCATTCTATGTAGTAATAATAATAATAATTGTTTGCACTTATATAGTGCTTTTCTGGACACTCCACTCAAAGTGCTTTACAGGTAATGGGGATTCCCCTCCACCACCACCAATGTGCAGCATCCACCGTGATGATGCAATGGCAGCCATAGTGCACCAGTACGCTCACCACACATGGGGAGGAGAGCAGAGTAATGAAGCCAGTTTATAAATGGGAATTATTAGGCCATGATTGGTAAGGGCCAATGGGAAATTTGGTCAGGACGCTGGGGTTACACCCCTACTCTTTTTGAGAAACGCCCTGGAATTTTTTAATGACCACAGAGAGTCAGGACCTCAGTTTTACATCTCATCTCAGTTTTACAGTGTCCACGTCACTTTACTCGGGCATTAGGACCCACATGGACAGTAGGGTGAGCACCCCCTGCTGGCCCCACTAACACCTCTTCCAGCAGCAACCTCAGCTTTTCCCAGGAGGTCTCCCATGCAGGTACTGACCAGGCTCACACCTGCTTAGCTTCAGTGGGCTGCCAGTTGTGAGTTTCAAAGTGATGTGACTTTTGACATGTGTGTACATAAGGCAGTTTTCTCATTTTAGCATTGGGGTAGTGCTCAGAAGGAAATCTCCATGGGAACTACAGTGTCAGAGGTCATTTTCAGAGGATATAAAGATCTGGCACTGAATTTGGCATTCCTGTTCCTAGCAATCTGAATGAGCTGGGTTCAGTAGAAATGTGCTTACGACTCCGTCTGTGCACACTGCCTCAAGCAGCATACTCGTACATAGTATTGAGAGCTCTTCAGGTGAATATTACCTGCATTAATAAGTACTTTCATTATAGATTTAAAGCCCTAATGTGACTAAAATGACTAGTGTGGACAGAAGCTTTACAAATATCTACAAAGATGATCTTACGTACTGTCTATTTGAAAGACTGGTTTCTCCTCTGGGCCAATAAAGTGGTGGCTCTGTGGCTAAGGATCTGCGTCTGTGACTGGAAGGTTGCCGGTTCAAATCCTGCGGCCGGCAGAGGAATCCTACTCCGTTGGGCCCCTGAGCAAGGCCCTTAACCCTAACTGCTCCAGGGGCGCTGTACAATGGCTGACCCTGCGCTCTGACCCCAAGTTCTGTGTGTTTGTGTCTGTGTCTCCATGGAGAAAAGCTGGGGTATGTGAAAAGACGAATTCCTAATGCAAGAAATTGTATAGGGCTAATAAAGAAACATTATTATTAATACATTATTATAAAGTTGGAAGTTACCTTGTGTGTTCTTTCACAGTATGGACATTTCTGAGGACCAAAGCGCCACCAGGCTGAACGACAGGAGCCCCCTCCCTTCAGTGTCCGAGCTGTGCACTCTTATCATGTTCCTCCTCGACGTCATCCCCTTGGTGAGCAAGATGCCTCGTTCGCTCGGTCAGGGCCAGGCCCCCTTCACTCCACTAGAGTAGGGGAGCCATGGTAGGGTTTTTGTTCAGCACTATGAATTACATTTCATTGTATCTTCTCCTTGTGTGATCTCATTCGGAATCATTATGTAAGTCTGAGAGGGTCACATCTGAGTGATGTCAACGGCAGAGGTGGGGTCTAACTCAAAACTGATTCAAAATGAAGGGTCTCCAATGGTTTCTTTAGGCTTTTAGACTGCCTCTATGGCAGTTTGTCTTTTGTACCTCTCCACACTAGAGCAGGGTATTCTAATCCAGGTACTGAATGACCACATACTGTACCTGCTGAGTGTCTTTTCTAGCTGTGGCATCATACATGATTGTACCCTTAATTAAGCTCATAATATCACTAGTTTAAACTCTTCAGTTATTTTATGTTTCTAGACATGTTGGAAGGCTTATACTGTGACACTTTGCTCAGCACAGGGATGCGTTCCAGAGAAAGGAACGTAGAGAAATGTGTTCTAGTACAGGTGGTTTCAGGTTTCAGCCTGTGTTCCCAGGACTGCCATGTCTTACCTACAGTATTAGTGATATAGGTTTGATGGAGGGCTGCAGAGCTAATAGGATTAATTGGATTACCTATTTCTGTTTTTATCACAGAAAATATTTTATAAATCTGTTTTTTTTTTACAGAAATTAATTTTATTTTAAGCTGCTTTATTGATGCAGGAGAAAAATTAGCTACTCAACACTTGCATAGATTATTCTGCCTTCCCTCCTTCGACTCAGCAACAGGGTCCCATTAGAGTTCTGTTAAGAAGGGAAAGTGTGCGAATGTTATTTATTTCATTTGAAATTTTGATCAGCAAAATCATTTTCTTGTTGGTCTAATATGTTGCATTCAAACAGCTGTGAACCCTGTAAGTTACCTTGCATTATATGAGAGGGAAGTCCAAATGTTAAGTGCTACAGCCTTCAGAAATACCTGCACTGCGTCTGTCAAAACTGAGCTCGAAATGAACACTTCAGATACCCCAAGGGACACTGGGGTGGGAAATGTGCTTCCTACTATAGTGCAGTTGGAGTTAAACAGCGGATTGGACTTTTCAGGAGCTGTACTCAGAGATCCAGACACAGTACCTGCCCCAGATGTTGAACAACATGCTGCAGGCCCTCCATGAACACATGGGCAGCCTCCGCCTGCCGGAGCTCACGCAGGGTCTCAGGACGTGCTTCAAAGTGCTCAGCAAGATCCAGATGCCTGTGGCGTACATGGACATCGAGGTGGAGCCACTTGCACAGGAGAACCAGGACCTTGAAGAGGTAGGAGGACAGGACAGAACGCAGACTCTTAAGAAGCGACTGTCAACCTATTAATAAAGCAACTGGAATCTTTCTTTTTTTGCAATTAGTATCTCTAAATCCAGAAATTTACCAAGATTTGTATCAGAAACTCAGCTCAAAAATGTTAATGTCTTATTAAGCATTTCTTTTGTTGATAGATTTGTATTTGTTTGTATGTAAAGTCACAGTGCCTCAATTTTTTGATGTTGCGTTTCTTTTGTTGATAGATTTGAAAAGTACATAAACAAATATTCTCATATGTAGGTTAGCTAAAGTTTTCCTTTAGTCCAGCTTCTCTGTGCCTAAGTAATCATTGTAACCTTGGTGGGTTTAAAACCAGCCACAGAGAAACCTCACTTTGCTTCCATTGCCAACTGTAATAAACCATAACAAAGTCACAGGCTCACACACTGACTCACAGCCTGCCTCCTGATACTAGACGCTGCAGGACGAGAAGCCAGAGAAGGAGAAGGAGAAGGAGGTTGAGGAGGAGGAGGAGGAGGTGGCCAAGGAACAAGATCGGGAGGTGGTGGCGTTGAATGGGGCGGCGGAGCCCGATGCCGAGTTGACTGAAGAAGCACCCTACGCTCCACTGCGCTCAGAGGACAGCGGCCTGGGCCTCAGCGCCTCGCCCTCCGAGCACTTCCACAGCAATGGGACCAGCAGTGGGGCGGCAGGAGCTGGGGTCTCCCCAGAGAGGGAGGACGTGTGGAAGAAGGGGGGCAGCGTTCAGCACATGGCCCGCTGTGTCCAGGACATCCTGGCAGCCTTCATCAGCAGGTGGGAACGATTGTTGATGCCTAGTGGTGACCCGTCTGTTGATATTACATAGGGAAGAATACCAAACCCCTTATGACACAGATTTTATTTGACACGACTGTTCACAGTAGAGTCCATGTATATATTTTTTAAAGGTGTTCATTTGAATTTGGGGGGGTTAAAAAAAACAAAACAGAGGGGATCGATCCCTCAGTGGATGCAATGAAGTGGTCCAGTCCTTACAGACTGATTCTCAACTCATCCGCGCAGGTACCTGCTGGCTCCGGTGGAGGTGGAAAAGAGAGAGGCAGAGAACAGACCAGCGAGCCCTCCGAGTCAGGGTAGCAAGGCCGCGAGAAGCCCCAAGAGCTGGGAACCTGGGCCCATCTCTATGCCACAGTTCAAGGAGAAGCTGACTGGCTTCTTCAACCCCAGCAAGCAGAAGCAGGTGCCCCCGCAGGAGGAGAAGAAGGACATTCCCGCGGCAGGGGCCTGGGCGACGGGATATGTGCCGCGGAGCAAAGCGGAGATCTCTGACCACTGCCGGCAAGCCTTTGCAGCTACCTGCCAGCTGCTGCTGGAGTGCACCACCTTCCCCGTCTACCTGTCCGAAGAGGAGACCGAAGTCCTCTACACCGCCGTCTTCCAGGAGCTCAGTGAGGCTCGAGCTGCTCGGGGTGTTGACCCCGAATCTTTTCACTCTCCTATCTTTTTCAAATCCCTCTTTCTATCCACAACTGGAGTTGTGGGATTTGAGTTCTTAATAGAAAATAAGAAGTTAAATGTTTGTTTTTTTTCGTCTTACGTTAAACAGTAAAAGGTTAATTAATGGAACTGGTAAAAGATTATTCCAGGCCGGAAGAAAAGTAGAGACATAAAGTTTCAGCTGTGGAGCCTCCTTCAAGTTTCTTTTCCTTTCAGCATGGACTAAACCTTTACCTGTTCCTTTGCAGCCTACGTGTGCTGACGCAGGCTACCTACTTGAAGATTAATTAATGTTCTTCATGAATGTACTCTAACCATGTTACAGTGAAGCTGTAACTTTAAAAGTGAATGCCTCTTTGTACTAGTCTGGCAAAGCTTAAAAATTTCAGTAAAAAAAAAAATCGTGCTCTTCTAATAATTAACTTGGGAAACAGGATATATATATATTTTTGTAGGTGATTCATTAGGAATTTAGGAGATGAGTATTTGACATGCAATGCAAAATACTGAAGTTTAAAAAAAAAAACTAGATTCTGATTGGATATAAATCTGTGATGTTCAGGTGTACCTACCCTTGGACTTTAGAAATATGTTTTTGTTAATGGATAAGCTGTAAAATGTTTTGTATTATTCATAAGGTAACTGACCTATTTTGGAATTCAAACTCGTGTGGAAGCCATCACTACTTGCCGTGGTAACGGGCGTTGATGTTGTTGGCAGGCAACGGGGAGGGCAGCCTGCCCATGTGGCTCAAGTCACTGATGACCCTGTGCTGCTTCGTGAAGGACTGCCACATTCAGAATGTGGCCATCTCCACTCTGCTGGAGCTGGTCAACCACTCCCAGTCTCTGGCGCTGGTCATCCAGGACAAGAACCGCCGCTACAAGAGCTCCGATAACAACCCCTTCTGTGGCAGACTGCAGATGGTCACTGTGCCACCCATCAATCCCGGAGTCCTTCAGGTCATGGCAGAGAAGACGGATTTCTATCTGGTAGGCCACAGCCGGTGTAGGCGTTTGTTCAATTTGTCTTTTAAGTGCATATTGTATGATAGTATCAAGACCCGGTGCTCCAGAGTATTTTTAATAATAGCAGCTTCTGTGGGTTGTTTCAGCTGCCCATCTTGTCTTGCAAGACAGGGGATTCTGTTTTAATTCTTTTTTGTTCATGTTCTGGTTTATTTTCAGTTTCATAGTTTAAAAAATCATTTTTAGTAGGGAAATCTTTTCATTACGTTTTTTCAGAAGTGTAAAAAAGTATATATACCTATTGATATTGTGCTCATATTACAATAATAGCAGGGGAAAGAGAGACTAAACAGATGCTCACAAATGAATGGGAACCATATTTCAACAAAGGCGACACTTAAATAAGGAACATGTCTTTAGCCTGTGGGTTCCGCAATAAAGGAAATCGGAATTTCCAAGTAAGATGACAAGATCTTTTTATATAAAAAGTTTTCGCATTTAATTTCAGGAAGGCAGCCTTTCATGTTTTGAAGAAGAGGAGGATGATGTTCCTTCCCTGTTCCCCCTTTCTTTATGCTATGGTTCATTCCTTTGGATGCTGGCTTAGTGAACTCACTAGGAAGGGTGGATCATCAGTGATGTTTTATTTGGTTGATTTAATGATTTTACAATGACTTTAACTAATTTGCATATTATATATTAGTAAGGTTCTTATTGATCATCTGTCTCTATCACCATGCTAACTTGCCTCAAGACCCAAGAACTGCTAGGTAAATACAGCAAATTAAAGCCTGTTGCTCCAAACCTTGCTCCAAACCTTCTTAAGCAATCAAGCTAGAAAAGTACAAAAAGTGCTAAACATGCTGAAAGTCAGCTGCCCCCTAAAGTCGCACCTACAGGTATATATAAAATGTTAATTATATTACCATGTCTTTCTGCTTAATGTGTTGAGCTGAAATCCTCAAGAGTTTGTTTGCTCAAAGGTGGACCTCTGGTTTAAATGTGTTTGAAATAGTTTTGAGTGTTGACTGCGAGTATGACTTTTGGGATTGGGCTGTGGAATGGTTTCTGGCTTTCTCTGCTCTGGTAGCAGCTGCTGCATGTCTGTGGGTTTAGTGTTTGTATTGCTGACAGCTGTCAGCTGAGCACAGCTGGGAAGAGACCTTCTTTGCGCTGCTATCTTTCCATTTTGCTCGCTTTTAGTGGACCATGGATTATCCATCGATTTCAGCCTGTTTGATTTGACCTACATTACTGCAATGCCTTAAAGGTAGTGTTCTACTCAATTGTAGAGTGTAACATAAAAAATGTACCATTAAAAATGTACTGCAAGCTTGGGCTTTTGTGTGAGCCCTGATATGTTCGTCACAGCTCTGGATGCTGTTCCACGTCTCTCTAGAGACAAATACAGCCACTTGACACCTTGGTGCCCATTAAACTCAGCCTGTCTCTTGTATTCCTGCTCCATGATACACTGACCAGCTGTACTCTGTGAAGACAGGCTCTTGCTAGCGTGAGTAGAAGAGGAGGGGGTTGGTCTTCAGCTGCAGTGACAGTGGTTAGACCCAGCTGTTTTTCCCATACAAGTCATAATAATCTTGCATACCATTATTGATGCTCATGCAGCTGCCCTGTTATATTACCTGACTCATCGCCTTTATGCAAAACATTTTTTACAGCACAGCTTGATAACACCTGGTGCAATATTCTCACCTCTTTGCATACCTCTTCTACAGGACTGTCTGACTTTGCTGGTTCTCCTGTCTCTCACTTTATAAAGTGCACACCTGCATGTCGTACTGGAGTGGTATCATATGTTGCAGGAAAGGTGGGAGTAAGGACACTGTTGAATTAATGACCCTGAGAGCATGTTCAGTCATATGTGGCTTTCCCCCTTCAGGATCCCTCTATGAGTATCCCTCTATTCTACCTAGCAACACATCTGCATGGTACTGTTGCCTTGACAACCTTGATAACCTAGCCGTTTTCTTCCAGTTAGTGTTGTATATTACAATTATAACTCAACCGGAAACTTTAGATTATGTTTGAGGGTATGTAGAAGGGAGAACAATTTAAAATGTAGTAACTTTACAGCAGATAAAATTGGCAAAGAGAATGTTTCAGTGGGCCAATACAGGTACAGTTAACACAGCTCATTAAAGGAAAACCAACAGCATGTTCAAAGGCAGGTCATGAAAGAAACTAGAGAACTCTGGAAAACTACTGAAGATTAAAAAGTACAGGTACTGTTTAACACCAATGATTAACTAGTGAAAGCCCAGTTCCAGGATCACTTTATTACTCAAAGGACAGAGAAGCATAAGCAAAACAAAGAGAATGGAGTCCAACAAGCAAGAAATGTGGGTTCACCCAAGAAGGATTATATTTAAATCTCACTCTCTCTGCTTGCTGATCTTCAACAGGGAAGAGTATGAGGGACCCTGATACAGGTATTTATGTCCTCAAAGACATTGACAAAGTCAACCCAGAGGGTTTCTTCAGAATGAGCAATGAAACACGAACCAGAGGACACAGGTGGAAACTGTGTGGAAGTGCCTTTAAAACCAAGAACAGGCAGCACATCTTTTCCCAAAGGCCTGTTGGACTATGGAACAAGCCATATAGCCATGTTGTACTCGGGTTACTTTCGAGAAACAGCTAGACGAGATCCTTGAATAAATTAGCTACCAAGTACTAAATAGGCCTTATGTTCTAAATGGCCTCTTACTGATTGTAACCACTTTTATGTGCCTGCCACATGATTGAGTCTTGGGATTATTTCTGTACATGTACAAAACACAATCTGGGAGCTCTCTGAACAGGATAGAATAAAGATTATGTCCATCTTGTATGAGCTCTTGGTACCGAATATCCTGCAAAATTAAGAGATAAATGGATCAATAGCTAATAGAGAAAAAATCTCTAAGAGAAATACTGAAATTTTCTATACATGGTGGATATACCCACCTTAGAAATATGATACAGGGAAAAGGCAATATTGCAATTGAAATTGTAACTTGTGTTTATTTTCCCACTTTGGGCATGAGCCTGGCTCTTACTGTGTAACTTCAATTGCATCTCAACTTCGCCTTCTGTCGCACTTTGGGTGAGAATCACTGGGCATAGAGTAAATTGCTGAAGGTTGAGCTTGCAGACTATGCAGTACTATTACCTATTCCTCCTGAGTATGACCTTCCCACAGCAGTGCTTCATGTCTTCAGTGAATCCGTAGGCTCTGGCATGGTAGCTACAGAACCTCATTATAGTAAAAGATACTCTGTTCTGTCTTACAATCTGAAAAGAAGGGTTCAAGTTATTTGTAAAGGCATGTTTCACAGAGGACTCTTCAGAATACTTCCTGGTATGAAGCCAGCATGCATTTGTGTAAGAATGCTCCACCTTGGTCCAGTATACTTTCCAGGGTGTAAGCCCTATACTGTATGTACCCTCTGTCTGCCAGGGTTTTGCAGGGTTAAGGTTCTGCAGCTGATGTGAGGGTGGATGGAAGGCACAATTCATAGGAAGTCAGAAATGACGCTAAACAGACATCTGCAACATCCTTATGTAAAACCTCAGAGGAAGAAAATGAGGACTGATTTGTTTTCCATAGCACTTTCAAAGGAAACCTGTATCAGGAATATTTGATTTAGCTCAGTCTTTTTCTGCTTCCGTGGCAAAAAGTGTACACTTTTTCCAAAGGTAAGCAGAGTGTTACTTTCCTCCTTTTTCCTCCAGCGTGTGGCTCAGGTGCTGTGGAATCAGCTGAACATGGAACACCGCGAGCATCACATCACCGGAGTGGAGCTGTTTTACAAGCTGCACTGTCTGGCTCCTTCCTCCAGCATCTGCGAGGACATCATCTGCCTGGCGTTGCTTCACAGGGACAAGGTGAGGGAGCAGAGCTGGAGCAAAAGTCGATTTAGGTCCAGGGTTACCAACCCTGGTCTTAGAGAGCCTGTGTGACAAGGTTAAGGGTCTTCGAGGTCATGGGTCACCAAGCTTGTACCTGGAGGGCCAGTCTGTGCAGGTGTGGGTAAGAGTGGAGTGTTGTGTCTCTTGGGATCAGAGCAAAATCACTGGCTCATGATCCATCCACATGAAGTCTGGCCTAATGACCTTTCTAGGACTGGTCCAGCCACTGTTCAATATTTCTGACTTGATTCATCATGAATCACTGTATTTTGCAGCTAGATTATTTATTAGGAATCAACTCTGTCCTCCAGTATGTTTATAGCTGTGTAAATACAGCATGGCAATCCTCATTGTTTCACACATTCAGAATAATATAGTCAAGATAGTAAGTGTAAACAAGCAATCCCCACCAGCAGTAACAATATCATCACCTTTATGAGGTTTGATTTAATGTATAATAGTTGTGGGAGTGTGGAACAAGCTTCCCAGTCGTGAAGTTGAAGCCAATACCCTGGCTTCTTTCAAGAAACTGCTGGGTGTGAATCTAGGATCAATTAACCAGAGACCAAACGAGCAAGGTGG